GGTGGATCACCTGAGGTAGGAGTTCGAGACCAGCCTGGCCAACATGGCAAAACCCCATCTCTACTACAAATACAAAAATTAGCTGGGCACGGTGGTGCGCACCTATAGTCCTAGCTACTTGGGAGGCTGAGACAGGAGAATTGCTTGAGCCAGGGAGGTGGAGGTTGCAGTGAGCTACAATCGCACCACTACACTCCAGCCTGGGTGACAGAGTGAGACTCCATCTCAAAAACAGAAAAACTTCCTTCATTATTCTAACCATTCCTTGTCTCTCCTCTCCTCTACCACTCACAACTTTGTAGGGATTACAGAAGGCTTTGAATGTGCGTATGTTTGAGTCTTTGAGATATATTGAACTATGCTGTCACCTGACTAAGCTCCTAAAGATAGGAATCTTTCCAAGATTCCTCACTCTGTCCATGTGAACCTAGCACAGGGCTGGTACTTCCTAGAGTGGCTATTTCTACTTAAAGGGAACTGAGAAGGGTTACATTTGGCCCAAGCGCTAGAAAGTCAAATGAACAGTCTCTTGCCTTTCCTGCTGTAATTCTGAGTCTCACCTGCCCCTTATTGACCAAGTATAAGCCACTGCCCTCTTCTGAGCCTCAGTTTCCTCAACTGAAAAAAAAAAACCTGACTGGGTGCAGTGGCTCACGCCTGTAATTCCAACACCTTGGGAGGCCGAGGTGGGTGGATTACCTGAGGTCAGGAGTTCAAGACCAGCCTGGTTAACATGGTGAAACCCCATCTCTACTAAAACCACAAAAATTAGCTGGGCATGGTAGTGTATGCCTGTAATCCCAGCTACTTGGGAGGCTGAGGCAGGAGAATTGATTAAACCCAGAAGGTGGAGGCTGCAGTGAGCCCAGATCGTGCCATTGCACTCTAGCTTGGGCAATGAAGCGAGACACCATCTTAAAAACAAACAAACAAAACCTGCCGAGTCCTTCTCTTAGGACCCAGGAAACACAAATGTGGCAAAGATGTGCAGATGCATTATAAACCATAAAATCCTATACCCATGTTGATTTTAGTCAAGCTCTAGTCATCCTTAGGAGAAGCCCAGTTCTGAGGGAGGGCAGAGCTGCTAGGCCTGCTGCCTCGGGCATGGCCTTGGTGCCAGAGCTCACCTCGCAGAGAACGATCCCAAAGGAGAAGATATCCACCGTCTCATCATAGCTCTTTCCTTGGGGAACACAGGAGAGCAGGCTGTTACGTTTACATCCCTTACCTGCTCTGTACTGGGTTTAGGGTCAATCTAAGTTACAGCCAAGAACCAGGGCTAGAATAGTTTCTGTAGGGATGCCCCACAGGCTGTCCTGGGCAGACACCACCTGAAAATAGTCCTTCCTCAGCCCTAGGTAACCTGCCTTGGAGAGCCCTTATAACACAACACTGTCTGGGATGAAACTGCATGGTTAAGTGGAAAAGAACCGGACTAGGGTTCATCCAGGCTCTGCTATTAGCTAGCTGTGTGCTCCTAAGTCAATCCACTGAACTTCTCTGGGGCCTCAGACTCCAAAATGGGTTGTATCAGACCATTTCTGCCTCATAACCCTCATTTCAAAAATCCCAACCAGCATCTCTGTCTGGTTTGAGCAATATCCAACAGAGGGCACCACACTTCACTTCTCAGCATGGAGAGAGAAGGCTAAAGCTGGGACAACAGCCTGAGTTCTCAGTGACCCCTGAGGCACAAATGCTACAGTCAGACCTCACTCTATCCCCAGGATGGGACGCTGATCAGTTCCCAGCCCCCTGAGCTCAGGGAGCTAATTTGTAAGGCCCCTCCTGGCAAGGGAAAAATATTCTCAGCTCTAGATATCTGATCCTATACTTCACAGGCCTCCCCTAGAGTTCCCAGGGCTCTGATTCAAGGGCAGCCTCTGTCTTCCTCTGTAGTGTCTGCTCCAGAGCTTCAGGACTCACCATTCAGCATCTCAGGGGCCATCCAGTAGGGGTTTCCCACCACTGTGTAGCGCTTCTTGCGGTCATTCTTGCGCAAGGTGCGTTTCTTGGTGGTGGCCTTCTCCACAGGGGGCCTTTTCCTCTCTTCCACTATGAGCCGTGACAACCCAAAGTCTGCCACCACCACAGTCTTGTCCTGGTAGGATAAAGGCCAGGTCAGGACTTTATGGGGATGTTCTCAAACCTGGCCCTGGGGAGGAGGCATAGGCAAGAGAAGCCACTGAGAAGGGGAGAAGAGGTGCATAGCAAGGGAGAATCGGAGCAGAAATCTCTATCAAATAGACACACTCAGGCTGGGTGCGGTGGCTTACGCCTCTAATCCCAGCACTTTGGGAGGCCGAGGAGGGTGAATCAACTGAAGTCAGGAGTTCGAGACCAGCCTGGCCATCATGGTCAAACCCTGTCTACTAAAAATACCAAAAAAA